AGCGATGAAGGAGCGAGTTTTATAATGGACAAGTGCGACAAAAGGTCTTATGACATGAGTTCTTTATGCTATTTTATCTATTTTGCAAACATTTCATAAAACAAATTAATTTTATACCTTATATTTAATTTGGTCGAATTTTACTTTACATAGTTGGTATCTCAGTTTGAAGTTTGAAAGGTCATTAACCTTTAAAACATTATCACATTCTTTCGCTATTGCGTCGTTAATTTACAATAAGTATTTACAATAAGCGGCTGTTAAAGAAGAAAAAAGGATTTTCTTTGGTGTTAAACAAAATTTATTGCACGAAAAGTCTCGTAAGTACTAGAAAACAAATCATAAAAATATTATAACCTATAGGTATTCAAAATTGTATTTTACCAGTAGCCAACCTATAAAATCAAAATTTTGGGTGGAAGAAAGTACCTCATTAAAGAACCAAAAGCGGTGTTATAATGAAGTCATTATGAAACCAAAATAGATAAAGTATAGTATGCAACTCGTTTATAAACATCTCTAGACACTCGTTTTTATTAAACACTCGCTCGCAAGCTTCGCTCGTGCTTAATTAAACTCGTAACTAAAATGGCGTTTATAAAACTTGATACATAATATACTATTAAAATTGTGTTTTTGTTTTATAATAGAATTTTTTTTCCTATTTATTTTTTAATTTAAAATAAAAAATTTCTACAAACAAATGTTTTTTGTTAAAAATTACACATAACTATAATTATTTGTTTATCGTTATTAAAATGTGTTTTTAAATAAAAATAAGTACTTATTTACAAAAATAATACAGAAATTTCAAATAAAATTAGTTAAAAAAAGTTGTAAGAAGGGTACACAAATAAGCTGTTTTTTTCAAATTTTTAAAAACAAATTTAGCAGCGCCCCCGCGGGGTTGAAATTCCTCAAAATTCAATAAAAATATTTTTTAAGTTAAATTTTGAATTTGGCATATTAAAAAACTATTAGGTATTAACTTACTTAAGACACACAAAAAAAATATTTATATATTTTAATTTTAAGCCGCGCACCACGGCTTTTTTTTAATCGAAGAGCTGTATATTAGAACTTTAAAAGCTTTAAAATTAAAATATATTAACAAGATTTTTTTGTGTTACAAGTGAGTTAATACCTTATAGTTTTTCAATATGCCAAATTCAAAACGAACAGTTAAAAAAAATTGTCTTAATTTTAAAAACATTCAATCCCCCTGGGGCGCGGCAAAAATTAGAAATTCGGTAGGCTGGGCTGAAATAATTATTTTTGTAAATCTCACTTAGTTAAAAAAAAGTTGTGAGAAGGGTATTTGTAAAAGCTGTTTTTTTTTATTTTTAAAAATAATTTTTGCTGCGCCCCGGGGGATTGAATGTTTTAAAAATTAAGACAATTTTTTTTAACTAACATTGTGTGGTATTATTTGATTTAATGATATTATTATGTTTAATTTTGTTTAGTAATGTTATTATTATAATATGATGTAATATTATTATTATTACAATAATTAAAATTATAATAATTATTATTATAAGACATTCAAATTTGTATTGTATTTTTGTTATTTTGTGTAAAAACTGTAATAAATCTACTAAAGATACTAAAGAAAAAATGTCAAAATTTACTAAAAACTAATTTTTTTTTATTCCGCCCATAAATAACTTACATAAAAAGTTTTACTTCAAAACAAAGTTTAATAATTCAAAAACAAAAGCTCAATTGAAAAATATTTATTAGGAAGCCTAATTTAGATTGTCAATTTTTAGTAGAAACACCCTGTATTTATAACATTGATGTTTTACTTTTTTTAAATTTTTTTGAATTACCTGTTAATAACATAAAACACATTGTAGTTATTTACATTGATATTAACCTTTTTTAAAAGTATCTAAAAACATGAAAAACTTTTATTATTTTTAAAATAGTAAAATTAACAGAAAAACGATGATCATTTTTTTACGATTATAAGCGTAAAAAAATGATAATCATTTTCTGCCTTTAAATCTGCATCTGCATATATAATTTAAAAAATACATTGTCACAATTACTTATGGACAAAACAATTTTATCTTACAATCAGTTTTAATAAATCGACCGTCATAATTGTAAATTTCATAAAACTCGACGCGCGCCAGAAGATTATAATATGATTACATTTAAACGAAAGAACAACTGTCTCTAGCGTGACGTCACACGGTGCGAGAGAGACAGCGCTACCATTCGCAACAGTATCGTGAGTTTAATTCAAATATTAAAATCATAGGCGAGACGTTGCCAAATTGTGCGACGCAACAACATACAGTATTTGAAAACACGTATATTGGAAAACGTATATTATCGCAACGCCCTCATCGTCAAATGGGTTGAACTAAATATACACATTTTTTCCATTTTTAGTATGTTACTGCACACTTTTTGTGTTCAAATTTTTCTAAATATTTAAAAAACGAAGGGTCGGACATAAAAAAATTTTGGACACAAAAATTGGGCATTAAATTCTACACAGATCTGTATTAGCAAGAATCTTAGAAAGTGCTGGGATGAAGTAAATTTTAAGAAATAAGCGCTTGACATTAATGCGTCAGATATACTGACGCAGTAAGGTCGTTGACGCAATAAGAATAGGGATTTTATAAATGTATGGACGCAGCAATGATAGAATTTTGTATAAATATATATATATATATATATATATATATATATATATATATATAAATTTATATGAACATTGTACTGGCCATTTAATTTCGCCGGCAGTAAACTATAAATTAAGTTCGGGTCCCGACTCCACTGTACAGTCCTCATAAAACATTTTCTTTACTTTCACTCCATACAAATATTTAAATTAATTTGTAAATGTAGAAAAATTAAATTATAAAATAATTAAAATTTGTGACTTAAGTGGTGTTTATAAAACTTATTACACTATTTTTACTACCAGATTATCGTAAACTTATTTATCTAGAGGCAAATAGTCTATTAACGTCATGGAAACATGCATGTACATGTACTTGCACATGCAAATGCCTCTAGATAAATAATCCTTAGACCATTTGCGTCACATTTTGGTGACACATTTTTCTTAAAAACAAAAAGCAAAAGGCTACAAATCAAAATGTGTTTATCCTGAAGTGGAAGCGTTCTCATAAAATTGTCTTATTTAAACCACCCTTTATCGTAGGTACCTAAGTAATTACGTAAGATTAGAGATGTAAAAAAATGTTTTTTTTTCAGATGTGAGAAACACTAGAAAGACAATACTAGCCAAACACTATAAAATAATAAAAGAAAAAGACAAAACGAACTATCGCGGTGATAGATCAAAGCTGTGTAGGACAATAAATCTGTTAACAACAAATGCGTAAGGCAAACTCAAACGAGACCAATAATAAACATTAGACACACAGAATATATTTATAAACTAACACATTAATCATTATAACCCTAACATAGTAAAAACAGCATAATAATCAAACTCTTTTGGATTTGTAAACATTAGATTAACAGAATAATTGCGCTTGTCATTTGTTTAACTAATAAATAAATGCAAAACTTAATTTTGGAATTTAAGAAAAAAAAGACAAAACTCTACCACAAAATTTGCTTGGGCAACACAATAACTAAAAAAAATTGTTAGAAATTTCGCACTACTGCGGCAATAAACAATTTAAAAAAAACATCAAAAGCTACAAGTTACACCCAGCTACTGAACTATCTATTGATGGTTTATGACCTCAAGACTGAAGACACATGTGCAGGAACAATCCTACTTGGACACGAACAATAACGACAAAAACGTAGACCAGGACGTATAGGACGTATAGGCTCCTGCAGCAAAATAACAACTCCCGAACTCCATACAGTAATCCCAAATGTTTGGAGTAATACTAAGTGCCTGGTCTAGGGGGGTTCCGCGTCGTACTTAGATTTAAGTCGGCGTAATTGTCCCCCAAACACCAAACTGTCTATCCCTCCCGTCCTACCTCCTTCATTACCCTACTGGACGTATAGCATCGGCTCGGCGAACCCGGGAATGGCTACTAAAGCTATTGGCATTTCGCTCTCGAGCCCTAATTAGGGGACAGTACGGGACGCAATGGACATTCGCAACCAGCAAACACGGGTGAAGCCGCGCCGTTGCTGGTGGCGAAAGAAAATCGGAGGAAGGAAACAGAGGCCTATGCGGAGCCCGGGAGTGATGAGGCAATGCCCCATGGGGCCGGTTATACGTCTTTTCTATCTCATACTCATTATACTCAATAAACAAATTCCAAATTTTTTGAGATTTTTCGGATAGCTCTTCGTTAAAAATGGTCGTATTGGATCCGTAAAAAAAGCAATTTGAAGCTTGAGATTTTTAAATCAATCCTAACGAATATCGTAATAAAAATTTTTTTGTCTTTCTTTTTTGGTCCACGGAATGTTCTGACTTAACCACCAATGAATAAATGTTCTACAAGAATTTTCTACTGTTTTTTGAAAAAAAAAATCCATACTCTACATGAATTTAAAAAATCATGGTAGCTTTTTGAAAAATCAAGCGCTGAATCTAAAAAAATTATAGGTAATAGTTACTTTTCAATCAAAACAAGCGCGGCCCTTATTGGTCAATTCGGTGGTGGTGGCATGTGCATAGCGTGAGACTGTATTTACATTTTCTAAATGTCATTTAGTGGCTAATTTTAGTCCATGAACTGGACTAGAAACATAAAAAATTAGGCATACGGGACTAATCTTGAAAAAAACTAAAATATGAAAAAAACCATTTGAAAAAAAACAATAAAAAAAAACTGAAAAAAAAACGGATCGCATCTCTACGGTAAGATACCAACTGATTATACATTTCAAATGACTTTAAAAACTTTAAAACGTAAAACTAACAATAGTTTGTTAATTCAAACAATGTCCTATTACCATAGTTTCATCGGCTAAAATTTAATGTGCAGAACCTCAAAGCGCACGTTTATTGATCAAGCCTGTTTCCGCGTAAAAGGCGAGACTGCAGCATCCTGCCGGATTTATTCCCTGCTCCCGTCCACTGCCGCTTAAAACCCAACCCCGAAAACGCGAAAAATGACCTAACCCCCCGTTAATTTGTTAATATCATGTGATAGTGCTCGAAGATGATCAACGTCGGAATTAAGAAAAACTGGACCTGGATCCTGTGCATCTTTATTCTTCTGCTGTTGCAATTTTGTTTATGTAATCCGGACGCCAAACGATTGTATGATGATTTGTTGAGTAATTATAACAGACTCATTAGGCCTGTTAGTAATAATACTGACACAGTTTTGGTTAAGTTAGGATTAAGATTATCTCAACTCATAGAATTGGTAAGTACAAAATAATAATAAACATATTAAAAAAATAGGAATGTCATTTAAAGAAAGTATAAAGTTAAACTTTATATATTTAATTTCAACGAAAAACAAATTCTTGATAGCCACACCCTCTACTGTAACAATAACAAATAGTTTTAGATGATTAAAATATTTCTAAAATTTAATCTAAAAACTTGTTGAAATTAAGCAATTAAAAACAATAGGTACTGGTAATACTAATACCAACATTTTGTTTCAGAATTTAAAGGATCAAATTTTGACAACTAACGTTTGGTTGGAACATGTAAGTAACAAATAAGCGATTAATATTTAAAATGGTTTGCATATACCTGCTAGTGAAAAATTCCATTTTTACTCTGCAGGAAATTTTTCATTGTGTCTATTATTTATGCAGGAATGGCAGGATCACAAATTTATGTGGGATCCCCAGGAATATGGAGGAGTAACAGAACTGTACGTTCCATCTGAACATATTTGGCTTCCAGACATTGTTTTATATAACAAGTAAGCTGACATTAATATACAGGGTATTCCAGAATATGTGGGCAATCTACCGGATCTAGATAGAAAAAAGATCAAAAATGTCAAAAAAACAATGCAAAAAGATAAAAATAAATTCAAAAATATTTTTTTTCGTAAACATTTTATCGATGTCGATCAAAGGACCTTTTTTTAGTTTAAGGTTTAAGCTGAAATTATTGTTTTATAAGGAAACTTTTGTAGTAACCAACATATTAAACCTAAGTTATTTAGAAACAAATGATTTTCAGGGGCGTCCGTATCTCCGTAGAGGGGTCCGTAGGAAAAAAAATTATAGGAACTTGTCAAATTATTTTTATGTGTCTACTTAAATCCGGGAGATTGCCCACATATTCTGGGACACCCTGTATATATAAATTTTTTTCGCAATACTTTTAATAGTAACTTTCGCTTATTGAAACCCTTAATTTTTTTTTAAACTGTCCAACCACAACTTTGTAGCTAATTAGCCCCAACTCATGTCATTCTAAAAAAAATTAATAAACCAATATTGTCAAATCCAAGATCACAGTGTGACAGATACATTTGTTTGCGACTCACCCCTGTAAAAACGTTATTTATTGAGCGATTTTAACCGGATTTGTTTTATAGTTTGATGTTGGTAAACTGTATTTTTGGAGAAAAACACCATATTAAAAATACAAAATAACATGATAATAAAGTGTTTGTTCATATATATCAAGATACGTTAATATACAAAAATAGTATAAAAAAATAGATATTTAACTGAAACAAAATGTCAATAATAGGTATTTATGTCATTAGGTTAAGAAGTAAGGCTTTTGTGCTAAGCTAAAGGTTTGACGCGTAGCGGAGGCCTACAATTGAGCGAAGCACAAAAAGGCACTTCTTGGCCGAATGGCATACAACATTTTATCTTCAAAGCAATTTATATAGGTCAATTTAATTCAACATCAAAGCGGCCTAACCTCACTTTTTTAGAATCTCATTTATTTATTAGCTAAAGATTACATTAAATGTACAATAATTAATATTGCTTTTAGAAGCAGTAAAAGTTTGACAATACCTAGCAACATGATTTAAGTAGAAATGGATTTTTGCTATTACATTTAATTCAATTAATTGTTTAATAAACAGGTAGGTATCTAATTTTAATTTGTTTGGATTTTTTTTTTAAAATAGGTATGTTTAAGCTGTGTTTAACATTTAATTTCACTGAAAACTTAAATTAAAACTTAAAGATAATTTAAATCGTAGAAAAAGAATCGTGCGTTTTCTTGGTTGCCTAATCTCACTTTTTGTTTTATTATTCATATTTAATTTTACAATAATTTAATGAAAAATATTAAACATTAACAGTAAAACAAACAAATTAGTGCTTATTATAAATACATTAAACCAGTTTAGTACGTTAATTTCTTAGAAAAGGATTAATTTGTCAAAACAATACCCCTAGCGAGAAAAAATCGAACTAATTACTTGCCTCATAAAAATTTTTATCGGCCTAGGCCATAACAAGGTATTTCTTTATCGAATGTTGACAACAATAAAGTTTAAATTAACAGTAACCTTAAACAAGCACGTATTTAAAATGCACAAATATTGTATACTTTATTTTCTAAAATTTTCTCAAAATGTAACAGGTGCGACATTTCAACATTTTATCGAGTAATTAAACTCTTTTGTGTTTATTCTTAATGTTAGTTTCTTCGCATCACAATGTAAGAATATTTTAAGGTTATAATTTACGTCGCAATTAAACTATTTGACTTCAGATATAGTTTTTATTTTGTTAAATAACACATCTGATTTTTTGTCATTTTTAAGAGTAAATTTAAAAATATATATATGCACGGCACTGGATTCACCAGCCCTCAAAACGACCCTATACAAAATTGTATTAAAAAATGAAATTGTAGAGAATTTTTTGTATTCTCTATTTTTGTTCCATTGTTGTTTATATTGCGTTTTTTTATTGTCAAAACTAAGCATAGGAATATTAATACAATGTTACTATTAGTTTAATTTTATTTTATGGACAACTTGACAATAAATGTTTCTAAATAATTATTATTGTTCATTATAAACTTAAGCTATAAGCTACAAAATCGTTCCTCCTTAAAATTGTTCAATAAAATTTAGTATAGGGTCGTTTTAAGGGGTGGTGAATCCAGTGCCGTGCATAGTTTGAATTCTTAAAAATTAACTCTCAAGAACTGACATTTTGTAAAAATACAGCGTTTTTTGCTCCAAAAATACAGTTTATCAATTTCTACACTTTAAAACAAATCCGGTTAAAATCGCAAAATAAATAAAGATTTTACAGTTGCAAACAAATGGTTCACACATATTATTGGTCAATTTTTTGACACTTTTAATGCAGAGCACACTTGTGCTACAGAATAATTTGTAGTGCTACTTTTTTTTGTTCAAATGCAACAAATATGGCTCTAATTTTCAGTGCAAAATAATTTATCCAAATAGAATTTTTTCGTAAAATCAACAGAAAGACAACTAATATACCTCTAATATACCTGTATATTATAAATGTATAATAATAAATTATACTTTTAAAATATTAACCTAAACCGCGCATTCTGTATTTTGCCAAATTCTATAATTCGGAAATATACTTTGGATGTTAAAAAGAGCTATGTACTGTACAGTACAAAACATTAAAATAATCCCGGCGCATTCGCCATTATTGCAACTTTTGTTCATAACTAAAACAAAACGTTCTTCCTTGATTTATTTTAGTGCTGACGGTGAATATGTGGTCACAACGATGACCAAGGCAGTATTACGACACACTGGCAAGGTATTATGGACACCACCCGCTATTTTTAAGTCTTCCTGCGAAATAGATGTAAGATACTTTCCTTTTGATCAACAAACATGTTTCATGAAATTCGGATCTTGGACGTATGATGGAAATCAGGTAAAAAAAATAAAAATATTGGTAGTTTTCATTTTACAGCATTTTTATCCAATTATAATATTATATAATATAATTATTTATAATTATAATATAATATAATATTTAGTTTAATTTTTTATAATACATTTTCAAAATATTTATTGACATAAAGTATTGAAATTATATTTTTACGTAACGTAACTACTAAAGGAGATTGGCCAAACATGGATTTAAAAAAAAATCGTTGAAATAATTAAAAACTACAAAGTTTATTTGTAATCAATCATACGTTTAGCTATCAGTAATAGGATTATATTTTATTTTTAATCAATTATTGTATAAAAATCAAAATATTGAAAAAACCCAAATATGGAATATCGGCGTTTCTTCTTTAGAACCAACAAAAAATGATATTTTTCTACTTGCGTATTTGCGTTTTATAATATCTTATTAGGATACACAAATATATGTTTTTTTTTTACAAATTTTCAACAAGATGTTGACATTTGGTACTACCAACTGCAGAATAAATCCCTAAATCGCAATATAATTTCGAAAATATTTCTCAAAATATTGGCATTTAAAAAATAGTACTCGTAGGTACTCCTCCATTACTCCCTTCTTCGTCACTCGTTTGGTAAAGTCCTTTTGCTAGAAAATTACTACTTATGACATATTCCTTCTTTAATACAAGTATGTTCCAGGAACTTACAAAAATCAGAAGTCTAAGTGACAAACTTAGAACCTTCGCAGTCAGTAAGAGCACACGAAGATAAAACCCATTTTCGTTTCTGAAACATTTAAAAAAATAAATCCAACACATTTTCTATAAACCTGAACAATTTGTTAGTAAAGTATTCCATGTTTCAGATCGGTTTAAATTTGTTTTGTATTTTAAAAATAACAGCACACGCCATGAAATTGTAAAACATGCTAAACATAAAATCATCAATAAATCAATTATTGAAAAATACCTGGAGAAATCTTGGTATTCCATATTCCTACCCTACCATTCCAAATTTGTACATATTACAAAACTCAAGATTTTTTTATTAAATTTTTTAGATTGACTTAAAGCATATAAATCAAAAAGTAGGAGAAGACAAAGTAGAAGTTGGAATAGATCTACGGGAATACTATCCCAGTGTGGAATGGGATATCCTTGGTGTACCAGCTGAGAGACACGAGAAGTATTATCCTTGTTGTGCTGAACCATATCCAGGTATACTAAAATAAAAAATCAGTAATTAACTTTAATATTAAAGAGCGAAGGAAATACATTTAGTTGTCTTTGTAAAGATTTTTTTCCAAAAATTTGATTTTTTCTTATTTTATATATATATACAAAATTATAATTTCTTTTATTTCCAGATATTTTCTTCAATATAACACTAAGAAGAAAAACCCTTTTCTACACAGTCAATCTAATCGTGCCATGCGTCGGAATTTCCTACCTATCAGTCCTGGTATTCTACCTACCAGCCGATTCCGGCGAAAAAATCGCCCTTTGCATCAACATCCTTCTATCGCAAACCATGTTTTTCTTGCTCATCTCCGACATCATACCATCGACATCTCTCGCCTTGCCCCTGTTGGGCAAATACATACTGTTTACCATGGTTATGGTAGCATTTTCGGTAGTAATAACCATTATAATTCTAAACGTGCACTATCGGAAGCCTAGCACCCACAAAATGGCGCCATGGGTTAGAAGTTTCTTCATCAAGAGCGTTCCGAAGGTGCTTCTAATGAGAGTACCAAAGGATCTTCTTACTGAGCTGGCCGCCAATAAATTCCCCAACAGTAGGCTCCTACTTAAAAAACGCGATCTAGACGCCATGCCTTCCACAGGATCATCAAGTTCTTCATCGTCAAGCTCCAGCAGAAATAGAGCGAGTGCTTGCAACGGATTGCACTCAACTTCAGCTACGAATCGGTTGAGGGGTTTTGCAGGAGCACTTGGGAGTCGGTTGGGCTACAACGGGCTTCCGTCAGTGTTTTCTGGATTGGATGAAAGCGATTCCGGAACGAGGAAGAAGTATCCGTTTGAGTTGGAAAAGGCAATTCACAACGTTATGTTCATACAGCATCATATCCAGAGGCAAGACCAGTTTAATGCAGTAAGTTTAAATTTTATAGTCGTCCAGATGAAGTAATAAGTCAAATTTATTTACTTGTATTGTTTTAGTAATATTACTTTTAATGGTTTTAAAAACAAATTAAATTAAAAAAAAACATGATATAAATGTCTTTGTTTTTTCTCCTTTTAGGAAGATCAGGATTGGGGTTTTGTTGCCATGGTGTTGGATCGTTTGTTTCTCTGGATTTTTATTATAACCTCAATTTCTGGAACCATCACAATCCTGTGCGAGGCCCCGGCCCTCTACGATGACACCAAACCAATCGATATGGAACTGTCGTCTGTCGCTCAGCAACAATTTTTACCGAATTTAGAAGATTTTTAATTGTTACGATAATGCAATAATCAATCATGTTATTATATATATTATTAATATATCTATTATTGGCGTTTTAATAAATAAACTCGTACCGTATTGTTTTTATTTTAAACTTTAGTTTTAAAATGTTTGTATATATACAACTAATACAAAACACATCTTATCTTAAGTCTAATATAATCATCTATCTAGTGTAATTTAATGTCTTCTATACATAACAGGATATTTTTGCAAATACTTCCTGCCGTTAAGTATAATGGATGAGCAAAAAAAAAGCCAGAGTTGAGCGGACATGTTTTTGACCCTAGTAAAGGGTTTTTCAATAGGAGTGATCTTTGAAAGGGAATTAAACAAGGTGTAAAACCAACTTTGTTTTACTTTAAGATTAAAGAACATATTATGACATTATGTATGGAAAATAACATCTGGCAAATGACCTTTGCTGCTTGGATAGGTTGCCTCCATTTAAGAAGCCCAATTTTGGATTACTTTCTGGCAGATATCGGGTTGTATTTCGACAATGACGTGTCGGATATTGTCTCTGAGTGCTTCAATAGTTCGAGGCTTATTTTCATACACCTGACCCTTCTCATTTCAAAGAAATAAGAACCGATGACGCCGCCAGACTAGAATCTACACAAGACAGTAATCTTTTCTGGATGCAGTTGACCCTTTTCGATCATCGATTAAAAAGATTTTTTGACCGAATTCAGGGTCTGCTTTTAAATGCTCTAGAGCCCATGGGCTTCCTAATTGCAATTATCAAAATTGAGGACTGAGTAAAACCCAATTCTTGCGAACGTCGGGAAATTGAGAGTTTAGAATTCTCATGCACATCTCAGAAGCAACATTGTCAACAGTTCGGGGAACGATTATTTTGATAATAAATTTGAATTATCTGGATTCTTTGAGCACTTGTATATATACATATACATATACATATACATATATATATACATATATGTCTCCATTATAAAATGAAAAGCTTTGTAGAATATGTGCGTCAAAACATGACAGCAAAATCTCTTGAAATAACAACGCCATCGTTGATCACAGATACATTACTCTTAATATAAAACCGTTTATTTGGCTCCCTGCAACTTCTACAATGACAAAAAAATTACCAATCAGTTAAGCATACAATGTTATTAATTTTTTAGACCATAAAAATGGCTACAAAGTCCTTTTAAATCTTTGCAATGCGGTATATGGGTGATTCTACAAAAGTTGGACAACTTGATGTCATCAGTCAATAGAGTAGGTATTTTTTGTAAATATTTTAGTATATTACAAAAGATCCAGGTTATTTAAGTTGTCCACCCAATTTTAATGTATTTTTTCAAAAGCACGTTTGTAGAAAAACATAATAAATATTCAAAACATCAGTACCTTGGCGTGTCACAATTCCTGAATCAAATATTTGAGTGATTTTATTTTAAAATTTATTCAATTTATCTTAAATTTTTCAATTTTACTACAATCTATAAAAGATTAAATAATGTATTCTTCATATTTTATCATATATTTGAATAATAGCAATTTTTAAAAAATTAATAATATTTGTACTCACTTTTACCCGTCAGTTCTGTGTCCAATGTTATAATTCAAAATTCCTGCGAAATATTGACGTCAAGTCCTCGTTTTAACTCAAGTGTTGATAAAAAATAACCTACAGAGCCCGCCCTTTGCACGGCAGTCATCTTGCAAACAATGCAAGCGGCGAAGTTGTGGTGAATGCACGTATAGTTCCAGTCAAAATTTCAGTACTGTGGTGAGTAGTTATTTTCTTACGTATATATATTTCATTGTAATTTATATAAGGCTATATGTGATTTGTTGATAAGTAGCATCTACTAATAAAAAATATCAGTAAAATAATTAATTTCGAATGATAATCTGAAATTTGTATCCCATTCATCAGTAACGTGTCGTCAGTTTCATGTTCGATGTTTCGGTTATCTTTTTTTCGCAAACTTCAATTTAAATTCTGCTTGCTTAGAACTTGTTTATGTAATATTATAAACTCATATAAATTTGGTGTGGGTCCCATATCTAATAATTGAGATATCGTATACCCAAAATCCATCAGCCGCCACTGATGTGTTGTATTATTTGATTTTAAGATATTTAATGTATAATATGCTCAAAGTTGCAATAAATCTTATATTTTCCAATAAATTATGCATTTAATTAGTACCCTGGTATTATACGAGTATAATACTCGTCACTTCCCTTGCATTCAAGTTTAGAAAACCCAGGTATTTCATAAACTGAAAAAGTGACTGGCCCGGTTTAATTTTCTCCCAAAACTATATAAACAAAATGAGGTCAAAAGTTGCCGAACTTTTGTAGAATCACCCATATATTATTATGTGGTCATCGCCAGAAATTATAAAATATTACAATGAATACTAAACACTATTTAGAAGTGTGTGGTTTATTATTATTTTTTATTTTTTTTATTGTGCTATTTAATTATAATATTTATTTTGTATCAATAATTGTTAAAAACATTATGATATAAATCAACATTATAAACCACAGAGTTATAAACCGTATTATAAATCAATGTCATTTAATGTAGACAAATAAGTTTTAGTTATTAATTTTATGTCAGACTAATATGATCAAACTTATAATTGTAATTTTATTTTGTTATTTACCCTTAATGGTGCTATACCATCGTTTTAATTACTTTAAATTATAACATTTTTCAATTTCAGGGAACATCAAAGCAAGTTTATATTAATAAGTTAGTGAAGTGTCCAGATGAACCTGAGTACGGTTGTAAATTTAACTTTAGATTTACAGAAAAAGATAAAATTCAATATATGACTGGAGAAGTAATATTGCCTTCTGCTTGGGGAAATGATGTTAACGTAAATTTATTTATTTTTAAAACGACAGTTTTTAAACCTTTAGTATAGGTATTTCAACTATTTGGTACTAAACTAAATACAATTGTAATAAAAACCGTTTAGTCCTTTTGCCTGAACTAGAACAATTTAAGCTTAATTCACATTATTAGACATAGGACAATACAGAGTTAAATACAGAGACAGATAAGATTTTGAAACTAAAAATCTCGACAAATTTTTCGTTTTCATATAGAATCCACATTTTTAACAAACCTACTTCGATAAACTTTCATATTTCTAGGTTCGTCTGGAATTCTTGGCTTCTAAGGATGGTAAAAATTATAAAAAGTTTGTTGAATCAAACGTTGGAGTGTGCAAGACTCTTAAAATATTTATAGGGCCTTTTGCTGACGATCTTTTCAAAGCGGCCAAGCTTATGCCTGGATCATGTCCAGTACCCAAGGTAAATATGCCAAAAAAACAAGTTTGATATTGGTTTTATGTTTAAATTCGTACATACACAAAAAATGTAAATATGGTAAATAGTAAACTACCCTTTTGTAAGTTTATGTAAAAGATTAATAATTGTTTTTATTTCCATGTCCACATAAGTAAAAGACCTTAAATTTCTATTGTTTTTTTTAGGGAAAGTACGCAGTTAAAAATTACAAAATGGATTTACGAACTTTTTTTTTAAAAGAAACTCTTCCAATTGGTTTTGTCAAAGCTATTGGTCATGCTTATGAAAAGCAATCTAAAACCACCTTGTGTTGTTTTATATTTGATGTTGAAGTTAAAAATTAAAAAATACTTTATATTTAAATATCTTAACCTTTATTAAAGTCAAATTTAAAATAAATCATTTTTAAATTATCAATTTAAAAGTTTTTATGTTTTAGGTAGGTAACTGTTATGTTTTCTTTATAAAGATATTTGGAAACTTATTTTGTGTCTCAATAAAAACATATTTTTTCTGCTTTCACCTTTAAAATGCCCATTATCGTACATGTTTTCATGACACAGGGTTTAAGTCATGGGCTGAAGTTAGTTTTAAGGTAACTAGGAAAAATAATACTAAATGTGAAAATTATTTAATTATCTCAATACAAAAATACAAAAGTATTAAATAGTTTCTCTACGCCAATATTTGAAAAGTTTATATGAACATTATACTGAACTTTTAATTTCGCAGGCAGTAAACTAGATTTAACTTAATTTCGGGTGGAGACTCCACCGTGGAGTGTCAATAAAATATTTTCTTTACTTTTACTGTGAAAAACTGCTTCTACCCAAGCAGCATTTTAAGTTTAAATAACTACAACTTTACTACTAAGTCAACTTTAAAGTATTTTTTACGGTTTTATAACGGTATAGTTACGAAAAATTACCAAATTTGGGGAATGGTTTATTTCGTTATTTTACTTACATAATAACCTTCTTGATCTACTAAGAGAATATCGTAATAAAAACAATATAAATACCACAAATTTACGTAAAAATAACGTTATAATTACTAACTGTTTGCTCTCTTTTTCAAAAACATTGACATTCGTAATTTCTTTGTTCTTTTAATTTATATTTTACAAAATGGTACTTACAAAGTAATAAAGGACACCCTAGAGTAAAATTATAAAATATAACTTAAATTGTCAAAACTAATAATATTTTGCATTAAAACTCAAACGCACATTATTTTATTGATAAAAATAGGCAGGATACATCTTAAAAATTATATACCCTCTAAATATTTTACGGTTTTAAGAAAAATTATTGCTTGGGTAAATATTCAACAAAACTTAAAACCTACCAAATTTTATAAAATCTTTTAAAAATCATTTAGTTTTAATCATTTCTTAATAACTAAAACTGTCTTTATTATATTTTAGAAAAATATTTATGAAAAAATATCATATAAATGTTTAGATAAGTAATGGATGCCATCTTAAAAAATTCATTATGGCGACCTGAAAAAAATTTTCCCTTAAAGTTTTATTTTTCACTTTAAGCTTATTTTTCATTGTTTAGTCAATATTAATAGTATTTATTACCACTAATAACCCTAAAAAATACCAGGCGAATAGGAATTATTTACGGTTATAAAGTGGTCTTAATATCGTAAAATTATAATTTATGAGTAACATTTGCCATTAAGTAAAAATTCTGACGTTAAAATTACCGTTAAATTTTCCTTTAGGTGAAATACACTT